ATGGCAATGAGCATGAGATTGCCAAACACCAGCACACCAGCACACCCGGAAAATCGGACAAAGTCGGACAATGAGTGACAGGCAGATTGCAAAATTGAAAATATGACAACAGAGGATCCCCGTTTTTGGGAAAAACCCGCTGCTTAGGGCGCTCTCTCGCCGTCCCTTTCACAATTTTCCGACTTTTCCTTCCTTCCTTCCGGCCATGCCCGGCTCTGGGCAAAAACTGTTTGACAGCCAGCCGAAGTTAAGCCCGATTCCCAATCCCGAATCCCCGATTTCGATCCCATCCATCTGACCAGCCGACAATTGAACATATTTCGCTGACATTTTAATTAATTTGACACTCGGTCCGGAGGTTTCGCATCGGTTTCTTCTTTTTTCGTGTGTGTGTGTGTCCTGGGGTTTTGTTTTGGGCGAAGGGGGATTACGCGGCATTTGCCGGTTTTTGCCAGTTGCAACATTTAATAAAACTTAATCACCAAATTAAATGACAGCGGCGGCAGTTTTTGGGAAACTCTCAGAGGTTTTCTGGGGTTTTATTGGCGGAATACTAAATTCGATTAAACTAACGGTGGGGATCAATAATACGCAACAGTTTCGTATGGTTTCTATCTCGCTTATAAATAAATAAACAATTAAATAAATGTATTCCTTTCTTAGTGTTTAGCCATTTATGTTACCTTCTTGTTAAATCGAACACTTTAATCTTTATATCATTCCGGTTGCATCAATGATATTTCCTCTTTGGATTAACAAAGAATAGTACCGAAACACTCCATAAATACATAAATGTTATATACATTAAGGCTTTTGTGCAGCGTTGAAACCAATTTTTTGGTAAAAAAAATAGTTGCTAATAGTTCGAATCGAAGGTTTCAAGGTGCCTTTATTCTTGTAGACTAAATAAATATTTATTTATTATCAGCCCCTATTAATTATTATAATTCATAGCGCAAAAAACCGATTGATCCACAGATTTTCGTTCGATTTGAATGTTTTGAAACTTCCCTAATGGTACCGCCCCCGTGACTCTCGCCTTCCAATCTTCGGAGACCATTTCGATGAGGCGCGTCCAAAGTCGACTAATTAAAACTAAACCCTTTTGCGCGGTACCCACCCATAGAACCGATCGGGACTTAGGATTTGGGATTCGGGATTCGGGCGAATCAGCCGCGTTAATTGCCGAGTTTTGGGATGCGTAGAGCCGAGCGGAACCAAAGTAAGCCACACTTTCCGGAAAGCCGGACTAGCGGCGATCCTTGGGAGCGAGAGTCAAACTGAAAGTCAAAGGATTAGGAGTGCGGAATCCTGAATCCTGCATCCTGAATCCGGGGATCACTGGGCGAAAGGGGTGCGGCTGTGTTTTCAAAATACTCGTAAACAAAAATCGCAAAAGTGCAAGGGGCAACGCCCAGGATTTCTAGCTGTTGACCTAGTTGCCCTCCTACGAGGGACGCGAGCTGTGGGCTGTGGAATATGGGAATATGGGAATGGAAATTGGTTTCGATTTTCTGGTGGGCGAGGACCAGAGTGTCCTTGCTCGCGACCGCGGGGGCTGCCTTAATTGCCTGCAACTAATTATGAATAGTGGCAAAAGGAGTGAGAAGCGAGCCGGGAAAAGGGAAAACTGCCGAGAAACGGGCCGCGAAAGGAGTATGGCACTACTGTTTGTCCTTGCCGCGATTGTCGTCATTGTTGTTTGCAATTGTCATCTTTATAGATGATGCCATTGTCCCTCGGCCGCCGGCACCCGTAAAATTCGGCCGGATTAGTGGCGTACAGCTAGCGAAAGGATTAAAACGAAATTAGACGCAGGTAGTCCGGTGCGGGAAACTCGTCCAATGGTGAAATGCTCAACCGACGAAGTGCTGATGGAGGTGCTGAAAATCGGGAAATGGGGAGAGCGGGAAAGCGGGAAAGCGGGAAAATGCGAGCCCAAGACTGCCGAACTGGAGCTCTCGGTTTCTCGAGGGCTTAATTGAAATTAATTATGCGGGGGCCCTTAAGTGTGCGACCTGTTCAATTATGCAAGCGGCAACTTTAAGAAGTTTTTCACACCCCTTTCCACCGAACAGGCGACAGGTTCACATAATTAATGCAGGCGATAAGTAAAATGAAGGGGTTGAGCAAATTCAAGAATCGAGTCCAGAATAGAAATACCCCTTTTATGAACTCGATTTGCATTTCCTAAGATTTTCTGGTGACCGAATCTGATGTCGTACGTATGGAATATTGTGAGTTTTAGCAATGTCCTCCATATTTGCATAGTAATAGTATTTTTTACTCACATTACTTCACATTTCAAAGTTGCTTTTTATTTATAATTTACAAGTAAAAGCTTTTAAGTTCAGTTTTACATTTGCATTTATTTATTTTTCTAATATTATTAGTCTTTACAGCAAAGACATTTAAAATAATGCAAATTCATTTTGAGTTCATAATAAATATCATTAAAGTTATATATTTTCCAACTAAATTTAAAAATAAAAAACTAAAAATAAGGCATACGAATGTACGCCGAATTTATAGGCCCAAATATCCATCTACATTTCCGGCTAGGGTACAAAAGTTCCAGACAGAGAGTCCCCATCCTTCGTCCTGGTTTTTCGGGCTTCGTCCTGTTTATTCGGGGGTGTCGTGGGATTTTTCAAGGACAGCTCGAACCGCATTACGAACCTTAATGCCAGGCTTCTGCGCTTTTTCCTCCTTGCTCATAAAACGGCGCTTAATGCGACTTTTGTCAATAATCAATTTTCGCTGAGCCGCCTCGCCTAATAATGCCAATTTATTTTCATGGCTGGAAAAAAAGCGCAGAAAAGCAGAGCACCCAATAAAAAGAAAGGGGTTGCAAACGAAAGGGGTTTGCGAGGCACAGGGCACAGACACACGTGAGCGGAAAATGCCGGCAATTTATCTGTTTGATTTTCAGATATGCCGCGTCTAAGTCGTGGAAAAATCGCTCAAGATAACCGGAGCGACATCCGCATGGGAATCAGCTTGGGATATGCAGAACATACGTATGTACATATATGTTTCCCTAAATCCGCGACTTTACCAGCCAAAGGACTGCAATTGGGCATATCAAATGGGCGTAGCTAAAGAAAATATAATATGATACGTTTCAAAAAGGGTTATACATATAGGTGGTGTTTTCTAGGTACCATGATTTTCAACCAGTTTTCAAGTGCCTCTTTGAGTGTTTCTTGGAGGAGCTATAGTACTATGGGACAGTGGCTGCCATTCATGAAAAAGAGACATCTTCATCGGCAGATGCCACCCAAATTGGCCAAACTGCTTTGTGCCGATTTGGCCATTAACTAATGTCCCGAATCGAGAACAAAGCCAACGCAGGTGGCCCTGCACCTTGGGTCCATCGAGTGTTTGTGCTCTTGGCCAAAAATGAATGCCACACACAAGCGGGAAACTGAGAGCCCAAAACACACCTCACCTAATGACAACAATTAGGGCAGCAGGAACTCGCTTGGTGACTAAACAACATTTCTCCCGGACTTCGGCAGGACACTCGACAACATAATCAGGCAGCCAACTGCCACGTGGGGTGTCCAAGTGCTCGAATGCTCAAATGCTGAAATGCTCAAGATGGCATCGAAATCACCAGGACATACATGCATGCACAAATGGCGCAAAAATTGCAGACACTTCAATTATGAGTTGGGTAAATATTTTTGTGCAAACAACGCAACAGGATATCAATTCACTGAAGCATTATCAAAATCTGCCCATGTGCAATGTGAATAACTCAATTTGACACAAAAGTCAATGGATGAGCAGAGCTGCGAGTCGGAATCCAAGGAAGCCACCCCGGAAGCCAAGGAAAACAGAAAGCAACTCGAGGACCCCGCATTGTTTTCCAGATCAACGGGGAACCCTATTTGCCCGTATATGTAGACTTTTTTGTTTTTTTTTTTTTTTTAATTTACAATAAGGTCACGGGCAGAATTAGTTGTGCTTTTAGTTGAGACGCCCGCTATAATTTTTAGTTGTACAACATATTTTTATTCGATAAATGGTATTAATAGTTAGGAGTCTATGGAGTAATCACGTTATTAAATAACAATTTAATGCCAAACTAGATTCAGATAAAGCAAACAAAAATATTTGCTTGCAAAATGCATTTTGTTTGGGATTCCTTCGTGCGGCTGGTTATTGAATCAGCAAACAACTACTTTATACAATTGATATTTGATATTATTTTTGTTCGCAAATTTGTTTCAATATGTCGGCAAGGTCTGTATTTTTTGCGCACACTTCTCGGGCAGCTGTTCTTGGCCTTCTGCCTGCATTTTCGGCTAAGTATTTTTGGGATCGGCAGCTCGGATTGCGTAAGCCATAAAAATCCAGGCCAGGATCCTTCTGCGAACAAGGATCCTCGCGTGTCAGCCTAAAAAACTGGAACTGCACGCAACTGGATGGAAAAAATGAACACAAAAAAGCGAGGCACAAAAAGGATATATCCACGCGTCATAAAAAGGCGAGGAAAATTCCGGCGAAAAATTGAAAATCTCTAGACAACATTACGCAAAACGCAATCGGCGAACCGAGACTGTAAATCAAATAATAAAAAATCGCCGCGAACGAACAAAAAAAAATAACGAAACTTGCCTTGGTTACGGTGAGTCTTGAGTTCAGTTTTTTAGTTCTGTAGCTCAGTTTTTTCCTCCTCAAATTACGGCGAAAAAACTACAGAAAAAACGCGAATCTTTTTACGACTCCCGCATCAGGATTTATGGCCAGGTCTAGATGATGTAACCGTAGGATCCTCTGCGGAAATCGCGTATCGTAAAATGTGCGGCTGCTAATGAGGTGCTGGATGGAAAGGGAGGGGGACATTATTATTACTGGACACTAGAGAACATCCTGATCCAAAAACAATTTATTTTCTACAAAATAACCCTAAAAAATAGTCACCTTTTGTTTTATCATAGTTCAGTAAAATATGGGTCAAAGAAGCCATTGACTTTTCCATCCCCCTCACACAAGTTCGAAAGCTTCACATTTAGTCAAACTAGCTGAATTCAGATATTTCTTACTCCCAAATTTTTCAATCCGTATTTACATTCTGCAATATTATGTTCCGTCGTGGATTAAAAGCATCGGGTAAGTACGGAACAGCTAAAGATATAAGATGCACTGTCATACCACCAACATCTTCACCGATTCATAAACATGTTAATTGAACGCCAATGATTACGCCTAAATCTTATATTGTTCATTGTCTGCATATCTTAATCCTTATATTGCTCATTTGCTGACGATCTTAGCAGCTATCTACTTTCGCAGATATATTTTTACAAACGGAAAAGAGTTGAATTGCAAATTAATCCTCTGTTCACATAATATCATATTTGAATTTTAATACACAACTTTGTGCACTGCTTGCATAGTAATTTAATATTATTCTATAAATTTACACGCTTAAGAATAAAGAAAACGTCATAATAATTTTCAGGTTTCCGACCTCTCGCGGAGTTGATTAATTTTTATTGGCGCAACGCTTCCGGGAATTCCCGGAGAAGGTCAAAGTTCGTGCCACGCCCGAGCCTAGCTGCGAATATCGACCTCCCAAGCTGCCCAACACTCCAGCGGATCCCAATCAGTGATGACGTTAATAAGAAGGAGGATACGGCCTATTACACATTCAAAATTGACCACGATCGCGTCCAGGAAATGTGGCAAAAGTCCAGAGTAGGTGCCAAAGAGCAGGTGTGTTACATTGCTAATCAGTTATTAAATATGGATAAATCGTAATGGTTATACCAATCCGAAAAGCAGAACAGCCTGCGTGGCTATCAGCCTGCCAACAACGACGAGAACTCCGATTCGGAGGAAGTCATCAGTGCCCTGGACAAAGTGAGGCGTATCGAGGAGCGGCGCAAGATCCACAACAAGATGCGCAGCCTCATGGAGGAGCAGCTGAAGCTGGACGAGCGCATCCAGGAGGAGCAGGATCGCTTGGTCAGGAAGGAGGTTCTCGTCGAGCGGGAGCCGTCCAGAAAGCATACACCCAAGGAGTACTCACCTGTTCGCAACCGGGAGAATTGCAAGCCAGATTCCTGGGTTTCAGCTACCGTTTTGGCGGCCACGGGAAAAATGCAGCACCATAGATACATGCAGGCTCCTCCCAGGATAAACCCAATCAAGGTAGAGGTGAGTAAAACAATCTAATGACAGCTCATAGAGTATAGAGTATTATTAGAATGGCAAGTTCTTGAAGTGCCTGCATGAGTAACTAAATATTTGTACGTATTTGACCATCTTTTTGATGATTGGTATCTTTTTCTAATCAATCCGTAGACCGAGGCTCAATCGCAGAGCAAATCCCCTCCAGAAAATCCGGCAAGCGACACCACATCTGACCAACCCAATCAGACCAATGCCGACATGCCCAATCGATCAGAATGGACGAAGACCGTCTTGGAGATGCACAAAATGCGTGCCGAGGAGTTGGACAAGCTCCGGTCAGTGGAAATTGAGTGAACTATCCGCTCTGCGCAAAATAAGATACCACTAAACGGTGCGAAGGATATTCATGTGACATTGCAGTCCATCGTCCCGATGAGGCGATTAGAAAATACCCAGGAAATTGGATAAAATCCCTACAGATCCTGAATCGACATTGTAGTCTTAGTTGCCTACTTACGTTTCGGAAAAACGAACCAAATTTAATATCTTAGCATTTTATACAATTTTTAGAAAATATATATTTGGATAAAACAATATAGCGACTTTTAAGTAAAATACCACGCTTTTCCTTGCCTTAAAATCACCGCTTCAAAGAGATCTAAAATATACAATTAGAAAGCCATGTTTCTTCTGCTGCCCCCTATTTTTCAGGGGGATAATTCCAGGGGTCTCGGAAAAACAACTTGGTAAGCCGCTCGGTTATCGCACAAGCACGGGGCTCCGGCACTTTTAGGGGCCATGCACCATGGGCATCTGAAAGAAATATAGTTATAAATATCAATATAAATTTTCTTGTAATTGGAGTGAAAATTCCTACTGTTTCTTCCGGGCATGGACTGCTGTAAAGGAGCGTTCCTCAACCGAGCACTCTTATATAGCTTTCGGGCACTCCTGGCCAAATCGGTCATAGACTTCCCATACCGAATGAATGCGGTTTTCACCTCGTTCCTCGCGGTATCCGACACATTTCGACTGACCAGACTTACGGCTGTTGGAAGGCGGGCACCCGCCAGTAGACCACGCCCCCACCCGCCAGTCGTCTCCACCACCTTCCTTTTGGGGATTTCAGACTCCGGATATTTGTGGGCGGACGCGGCCTGCGTAGCCAGTAAATGTCGTCTGGTGGTATAGGAACACACTGCACAGAAATAAAAACAAACATAGTTTCAGGTGAAATAACATTAAAGGCGAATTAAACATAATCACATTTATATTCCCCAGAGTAGCAGGGCATATGCATATGATAGGCAGAAGATATCTTTTTCGAACATATAAAGTATATATGTATGTTCTTGATCAGGATCAATATCGGAGTCGATCCGGTCATGTCTGTCTGTCCGCCCGTCTGTATGAACGTCGAGATCTCAGAGACTATAAAAGCTAGAAAGCTGAGACTAAGCATGCAGATTCCACAGACTGGGCGCTGCGCAAGTTATTTGTCTTTCCAGTTTCTATCGAAATGGTTTTGAAATTGTTAAACATTTTTTATTTTATTAGTTTTAATGCCATAATCGATAGAATATGCCAAAAAGAATGTTGACATATCTCGTTCGCTAGTGGGAGTAGCTGAGTAACAGGTATCTGATAGTCGGGGAACTGACTAGCATTCTATCTTGTTCAAAATTGTGGTCGTGACAGTTTTGGGCGGTTTGTGGGCGTAGAAGTTTTTTAGTTAGAAACTGGTGGTAAATATATACAATTTAAACGGTGTGAAGCGGTTTCTTGTATGTCATTTAATCAACAGATATGGCTTTCCGCAAGGAGTATGGGGTATATTCGATACATCCATCCATATCGTTCATTTTTGTCATCTTAAAAGATGGATATAATTTTCTTTTCTTTTTAACTTGAACTGCTGAACCTTACAATAAAAATGAAATATGTAACTTGTTTGTGTTTCGCAAGCACTGTATTGCACTGTATTACTATATTTTCCGCTCGAGATAGTATTGCGAAATCATTTTGCGAATCGTTGAATAACTTACTTTGCTGCACGCAGGGCGTTATATTGATCAAACAATTGCGTAATTTATTTCGTCGCTGCATCGTTTACTCGGAATAATTTATATAGAAAATTTTATAGAAATACTATGTTGTTGACAGTAATTTTGTGAGGTTTCTGATCTTACACGAATGGCGACGAAAAACACAATGAACTTTACTCAACAAAAATCTACTCAAACAGGCCTTAAAATCAAGGCCTTCTGTGATGAAAAAATATGAATACTTTAAAATCCAAAAAAAAACTCTAAAAACTAAAAATAAATAATAGAAGTATATAAGTAATTAGTAAGTAAAAAATAATCCAAAAAAATAATAATACACAAACACCGTAGTATTTATATTGAAACGCCATTTCAGGGAAAGAATTTAGTTAGACTTAGTTACTCAATGGGAATCCCCTCGGAACAATCCATAAATTAGTCAAGCACTGCCCCTATATATAAATGGTGTTGGAAATGTGCCTCTTTCCCGAAATTGAAACATCTCACTCAAGTGATCCCGGACTACGATTCCAATTTACGGGGTCTAGTGCCGTTTGACACAGCTCTCGATGATCTTGTACGGGGTGTGGATATGGGGAACAACCCCTAAATTGGGCCCGAGGCCATATAATTAGTGTAATTACCTCAACAGCCTACTAAATTCGAGAAAAATGCAAACAAAAATTAAGAAATCACAACATTTATATCCCCCTGTCAACGAGCCCCGTTTGCTCGCTCGATTCCGTGTGCGATTCTAGGACAAAAGAGTCCTTTGGTCCTTCGGCCCATAGAGAGTCCCTTGTGCGCCGGGACCAAACAATTGATGCCGTCTAATGACAGGGTGGATTGCAGTTTTACGTTTTCGTTTTTCGTTTTAATTCTAGTGCCAACTTCTGTTCGCTCTTCCCCCAAAAGAGAAACTAAAATGGTTTAAAGTCCGCTTTGCAACTTTGCAGTTGCATTGTCAGGACCTCCGAATCGCCTGGTTATAAATTACGTTTGGCGGACAACTTCCTTTCGGGATGCCGGTTTCCAATTCTGTTCCACCCTTTGGTGTCCTGATGATTGGCAAAAAAAAGCAAAAAGCAAGAAGCGAGCCATGGATGCATATGAAACGCAGTCATTAGTGCCGTGGTCAATGCAAAAATGCCAATCACGCCGAGGTACAAATGTCCTGCCATGTCCTTTCGCCCAGTTTACACGGAATCCCGGGAGTCAAAGAAAATATTTTGGTTCGGGCATAATTAACGCCTAATGAAAATATTTTGGGTCGGCAGCTCTTTGAAGTCGACGGAACACCCACGTGACAAATAAACTAAAAAATGTAACTGGAAAATTTTGCAAAAACAGAAAGGAATCGCTAATCATGCCGGCAGATAAAAACAAGTGGGTGTGCCCTATATGACCCGTTATTTTTCCTATTTAATATAATATAAGTAAATACTATTGTGTGGTATTTTAAGTTTCATTTCACGATGTATCTCAAAACGGTAACTTGTTGGTTGATAGCACCAACCTATGAACACCTAGTAAACTAAGGTAAGTTAACCGTAAAATATGAAAAATACTATTGTAATGCATCTGCCTAGAAAACTGATTTATTTTTTGGGCTGCAGTGCCTACTAAGTTGGTCATTACACGACTAAGTAGCATCGAAAACAAGCCACCCAAGATGGAAGCAGATGAAAAGCCAGCGGGAAGGAGATACATGGTACATAGTACAGATGGAGGGTTTTCGCTGGGCGGTGTCGACATTGTCATCAACACATAACTGTCAACTTTTACTATCGTTCCAGGGGGTTGCTCCTCGAGATTTGCAGACGCGGTGGTTAAATTGAAGCCCAGAAGCCAGAAGCCAGGAGCAGTGGAAACAGTGGAAACGGTGGCGGAAAGGGAGGGTTTTCGAGCCGCCGGCAAATGACCCAAAACTGAGAGACATCATCATTAGGGCATCAGAATGGGCAAAAACCAGGGAACAACCATGAATATCCGTGAAAAATCATCATCAGCAGTAAAATGCATACAAAATGAAATTGAGCAATGTTATGTTTGTATATATATACATATATACATATTCCCATGGCCGACTGACATATTTTATGCATTTGGCATTTTGGCTGAAGTGGCGGAATCAAAGCGATTGTTCGCAGGGCAAATAACAAACATAAATAAGTAAATGGAAGGCTGCATAATTTATGCATTTAATGTAAACAGACAATTTGGCGCAGCTTTTTGAACAGCAGTATAGACGAAGCCCCAAGAAATGTAACAAGGATACACGGTTACGAGGGTAGTTTGAGAAGTTTTCAACTTTATTTTCAACTTTATATTGCTCTCATACGGACACATACTGTCACTTGCTTTAGAAAATTAATTAATTAGGAAAAACATAAGTTCACGAGAGCACATCCTTAATTTTATTTGATTGGAAACTTCATATTATCTTGATATTATTAGATTTAATTTAATAAGAATGAGGAAATATATATATATAAAAATAAATTTTATTTATAAATATATTATATATTATAATTTATATAAATATTATTTATAAATATATTTTATAATATATTATGGTTATTATATTATTATAATATAAAATATTATTTATAAATATTAATAATTTATCATTTTTGTCTCTATATACCTTATTTTTGTATGTCTAGAGACTTGTTAAAAGTACTCGAACAACATTCAAGTAAAATTTCATAGCAACGCCAAGCTTTCCGGCTTAAGAAAAAGCTGTAACTATCACGTGGAAAAACTGTAGATTAAAACTTTAATGCCTCCCCTCGCCAGTCCGCCTCCAAAGATGATTTTTGCTGACAGCCGACAGTCAGCGCCGTGTCAGAAATCAGAGGCAAAAAAAGCACCCAACAAACGAATGGAATAAAGAAATGCGAACAAGGTCCAAGGGAGGAGTGGGAAAAGTGTAAAAAAATATACAGGCCCAGGACGCAGGACGATGAGAGCCCAGGGAACTGGGAACTGGGAACTGAGATCAGGGAACAGGAGGGGAAAGGCACTTGATGAGCAAATCAGGGCCATGGTTCATTGATGTAGCAAATTGGAACTTCCTCTGGGAGCTGCGATGAAAATAATGATGAGGACGAGGATGAGGATGAGGACGAGGATGGCGAGTCCTCGAGGAAAACCGAAGAAGAGCCAGGTAAAAAGAGCCAAAGAGCCAAGGCGGAAGTATCCGAGAGATACGCATGGTAATGTAACTGATAAACGAAGCGTAGAGAAGTGCGGCTGCTTCTTGGGTTACATGACATTCCATTATCCATTTCCATGATCCATATGGCCATCCCCTTCGAATTAAGATGCGAATCGGAAAATCGGGGAATCGGGAAGGCACACAAGTTGCCGCATTCATTCATAAATATCTGTCGCATCTTTTGTGCATCCCATGGACTGCGTCTGGGTTGGAGTTTGTTTACCTCACAGATACACAAATCGAGTTACAGATTGTGCGAAATGTGCGAAACGATCCGCCAGATGAGCTCGTAAAACGGATTCCGGCCACTTGTAAGGGATATCTAGAGAAACAGAACATCAAAGCATCGTACTTATATCGTAAATACTTCGAACTTTGTTGCAAATACGGAAAGATGTGGGCTTATAATGAGACGAGATACAAATATTTCTGTAATCGCATAAAAACGAACTGTAACAAATTGCATATGTTAAGTATAGTAGTAAAACAGTTAGCTAGGGGTAGAAACCTGAACACATGAGTGACTGACTAATTAAAATTATATTTTTTCCCATATTTCTGGAACTTACCTTAAATAGAGTCATAAACAATCAACCCCCATTTATAATCATAATTCCGTTGGCGCTTAAAATTTGTTTGACAGTCCTAATTGGTTTTGTCTTCGCAGATCGATGAGGATCGTGAGGATCGATGCCAACTGGTGAATGGTGCATGGTGCATGGTGCATGGTGCATGGTGAATGGTGAATGTTGAATGGTTAATGGATAATGGTTAACGGCTAATGGCAACTTCCGCCCGATCGACTGGACGACTGGACATGTGCATCCAGTGTTTTCTCCCTTTTTTGAGCGAGTAATTTGGGCTCATTAAAATGGTTCCGAAGTGTCATTCCCGAAGAGGGCAAACTCCGCGACATGTGGGAAATGAGCTATAAAAAACCTATACGTACACATATCTACATGTGCAGGGGCCAGGAAATCGAGAGACAATAGAATTGCGGCGGTAATTGTTGGCGTTGGTCATGGTGAACCGTAACAACAGCAACTGTCAGAGGGATCCGTCCGAAAAAAATCGAAAAAGTTAGGGAATGGGAGCCGACAAGTGCAGGGCCAAAAAAGACACGTGCGTGGGAGTAGGGGCTCTAATTGGGTCCAAAAACTACGGACTGCATTGGAAGAAATGCACTACCAATGTTTTAAGTTCTATAAGGTTTCTTCAGCATTTTTACATTAATTTTGGGCAAGTAGCGAAAATATGGTATCATTGGTGATTACAAATAAAACACTTTCCTTAAAAATGCAAGCTTTAAAACATCAAAACTTGAGTCAAGGAATCAAATAAGTTTATTCTTTCTATCTTATGCATAACATTTAATTGATTATTCATATATGTACATATGTGTTACCCATTCATTTCCATTTAATCCGACTCATTTAAGGTTTTTTGTAGGTTGCCACACAATACAGGTTTCTTTCGGTGCAGAACAACATCTGCGATGTTGGTTCACCCTTTCGGGAATGCACTGTTTGTTGTTCCTGGGATGTTTGCGTAGGTTTATGTAAATTAGCCCAGGTCGATGGGTCAGCGGAAGGTCGAGGGCGCAAATGATTCCCAGAAGGCAACAGCAACTGCAACTGCAACTGCTGAAGGAGGCAGAGTGCAACTCTTTCCCCTTTCATTCACTCGAAGCGAAAAGTAAATGTTGAATCCAAATCATGCACTGCGCAAAAAAGCTTACTTCAAATTTACCAACATAATTACTCGGAGATGTACACAGACATCAGTTCTATGTACTTTAATTTTTGGTATCATAATGTTGATGATAATATGCTAAATAAATATATTGCCTCTAAAAATTCATACGCTGAAATTAGAACATAAAAGAATGCTCTTCAAAGAATGCTTAAAAAAAATTATTTTAAATATAATTTAAGCCATCAGTATTTTCATCACAATTCTCATCGCAATCTTTAATGTATTAACTACCATAGTTTTTGTCTTACCTATGTACTTATTTAAACATTGTGCCAAACTTTTTTGTTTTGCACAGTAACACACATTTTTGCTCGGTGTAGCTTGCTGCAATATTTGCTCTCGGAACTTTATGACATTACATTTTACAGGAGGCTGTAATAAAACCCTTTTAGCGGCGTGCGCGTAAGGACCAAGAACAAGGAAGGCAGGCGGCTCGATGCCAAAGGATCTGATCGGGAAAACGGAAAACAGACCACCCCGACGAGCCGGCCACTGTTGATTTTTCGCGGTCTAATAAAAACTGACCAGCACAGTGGAAAAAAGAGCGGGTTGGGTTTTCCCCTCAAAGAGTTGCGCACGCACTTTTCCAAGGAAATCACGAAAACCCTTCGGTTTTCCGCTTGTTTTCCATCCTTTGGGTGTGAGCATTTGCATAACGCCGCCAACGCCGATGTCGGCTTGTTAGTTAGAAAGGAAAAAACATTAAAGAAGAATTAAGTACACGGAAAAAGTAACCACTTCTTCTTACTATATAACACGATTTTTATTTTTAAAAAGTATGTTTTTATTAAAACGGTGCAAGTTTAATTGTTCACTAAAAAGAATATCAGTCCCGTAAAATAGAATTAGTGTAAACCGACCTCTAATAATTTCCGGATATTGCTATTTAGTATATAGAAAATGAATACTAAAAACAATAAGGTATAGCTTATCCCATATTTGGAATTATACAATTTAAAGTTATTACATATATTTAATTTCCCGTTAGAACTTAATATTTATGATCACTATTTTCTCTTAGTGTACAGATCAACGTTGATACTTGATGAATTCCATGTAATCGAATGACAACTGTCAACTATTTAATTATCATCGGGTCCGCACAGACGCTGATTACCCAATTCCGACGCTTTGATTTATGCTAATTTTAATTAACCACAAATTAGCTATTTGCAACCGGTTTTCGCTCGGAGATCGAAAGATCGAATGAGGTTTGATCTTGAACTTTAAGCATTGCGGGGGATCAGCAACTGGTTAACTGGCTGAACAGAACTGGCTGCTCTTTATATTCCTAGTTTAGGTTTATAATTTATTAATATTTCCATTATTTATTTCCTTGTTCAGCGCAATATGGAATGGTGAATGGAAAATTTTGCAACAATTTTTATAAACAATATATTGGGGCTACCAAATTGCATTAAACTTAGACCTTGTTGTATCAAGGCAAGTGCTTACACCCTTTTTCAAACATCAAATAAAAATTTGAATGGATGTACAAATTGTATTTCTTTATAATGACGGTTCCAAAAGTTCAGCTCGGGGTCACCTTTTTTGAAAAGCAGCTAAAACTTTCACGTGAAGCAAACATTCGCTTGCGGTCCACTCTAATCCATTAGAACTCTAGACGCCCAGAAACTTGAACTTTGCTTCCGAAGTTCTCAAGTGGGCGATGACTGTTTTCCGAGACCGAAACACGAATCTGAATCCGACACCGAATCCGAATACGAATATAAATGATCAGGCCACCGGGCAAAGGCCTGCGAGACCCGGCTAACTGATAAGTTATCAGCGAAACGTAACGGAACGTAACCCCACGGACCCTCCCCCGTCGACCGCCTGCCAATAAATATTAAATTCGAGTTCGCTGAGGTGGCGGCATATGGAGAGAGCCGGACCCATGAAGTATAAAAATAAGATCCCCCAATGAGCTTCTGATGAGCCCCCACTTTTCAGAATACTGGCGAGCGAGGGAAGAGCGTTATTAACCCCTGAAATGGGGCTTATGAGGCATATGGAGCATATTGAAATTCCAGGGCAATGAGTAAAGACGGTCAGTATAACTTTTGAATATCTTGTACAGCCAATATGTCTAATGAGAATCGATAGTACTGATACCCACCAAATCTTTAATAACTCCATGCTCTATGACTGTGGATTACAACAAGTCACCTTATCCACTGCCCATTAACAATTAGATCATAAAGCAAGCAAGAAATGTTTAGAAAAAAAGATCGTAGCAAAGTTTATTTGAGCCAGGCCGAAATATTTACAAAAACAATGACGATGCCCTTCAGGAGCCCATTGCGTAATGCTGCTGATATTGCATGGGATCGGCGGCTATAAGCAGTCGACCTTGAGGTAAATGCGTTTCTCACTGGCCAGCAGCGCGAACTTGGCGTCGAACTGAATCCGCTCCACGGTACGGTCGCAAATCTCGACGCGGTGTCGGTGCAAAAAGTAAACGAGGCCCAGCTTTATCTGCAGCAATCCGATTTGCATCCCGATGCAGTTGTGCGGCCCCGCCCCAAAGGGCATGTAGGACATGGGCGCCTGCAGCGCCTTGTTCGCCGCACTGAAGCGCTCCGGGTCGAAGCGGTCCGGGTCCGGCCAGTACTGCAAAGGAATCAGCTCAATGAATTACTGTTTTTACTATAGATGTTACTTTACCTACTATTGCTGCTTTACGTGAACCCTTTCCCTACTCTGTTCTCCTTAAATATCAGTTAAAAATTTTCTATTTGGGACAAGTTAAAGGCCCTGTTTTCATCTTTTCATTCATGCATAGAATTAGGAACTCATTTGTTAATCAATGATAGTTACTTGTCTATAAAAGGTCCTAAGCTCGTTCTTCCCCATCAAACTAATAACTAAATAAGTTCGGCGGTCATTGCTTACAATGAATAACTAACATTAGGAACTCGAGAGCTATTGAAATGTGCTAAATTCCCCCAAAGCCACGCGCACTCACCTTGGGATCGTGATGGATGGCCAGATTGGATATGAAGACGGGCATTCCACGGCGGGCGTAGCACTCGGCATGTGGCCTCAGCGAGTAGAAGCGCTTCTTGTTGATCGGCGTGCACTCGCGCTCCAGGAGCGGCACGATTGGATACTTTCGCAGAGTCTCCTCCACGACCATGTCGAGGAACTCCATGCGGGCGACGGCCTCGTAGGTGAGCCGCCCATTGGGATTGTCGGCGAAAGCCTCGCGTATTTCGCGTCGCAGGCGCGACTGCATCAGGGGCTGTTTGGCCAACTCGTAGAGTGCAAAGGACATGCTCGCCGAGCAGGTCTCAATGCCGGCCACCTCAAAGGATGCCGCCTGGGCGGCCAAGAAGTCCCGATGGTGCGTAAAGTGCGATTTGTCCTGCTGCAGATCCGCCTCCTTCTTGAGCGTCAGCAGCATCTCGATGAGATCGTTGCGCAGATCGCCGCCGCGTTCCCGCTCCTCGATCACCAGCTGGATGACCCGGCGCAGGAATGTGGCATGCGGCTCCGTGAAAAGTTTGGGCCGCAGCAGCGGCACCAGTTTTGGCAGGTAAAAGATCACAAACAAGTCGATTACTCGACGCACATTCGGCCGAAACAGGTCCTGACAATGTGAGCCGATCTCCGACTGCGTGTTCCTCAGGCTGTAGGATCTCAGTCCGAACGCAATGCTGGCTATCATGTCGGTGTTGTACAGATCGCACACGTCCTTAATGCTCACAATCGCCCCTCGCTCCGCGTCGCCCCGTCTAAGATCTCGAGTCAGACGCTTCAGATACCACTCCAGATCGCAGCCGATCTACGAGGATACATCCCCAAAAAGGGCAGAGCCAACAGATTGGTTAATCAATAAACGGGCATTAGGTGCTAGAGTTAATCAATATTTTGCCTAAAAAGTGCTTCATTCCACAATTAATTTTAGTGACTCGATTCCATTTTTGATATAAGTGTATGCATATTTAACATATATACTACAGAACAACCTTAGAAATTAGACATGAGATTGGGCTTTGTCATGGGATTTTGCATTATCAGAATAATTAGTCATGTAGTTTTGGTTTACTGAAACGCGCACCGTTTGTCATATTTAACATTAATTTGCATAGAACTTTCGGTTTGACTAGGCAACTAAGTAAAATGACGGGAGCAATAACTATTGAGTTATAAACTATATGGATTCCTTCGTAGTAATGCCTTTCTTGCTGGCCTTTGATAAGATAAACTTCCGAAGCAACAAGTCGGTAATAAGTAACAAATGTGATGTGATAGGACGCAAAAGAAACATGGGCAGTTTGAGACGTTCTCTTATCAGCCACATGCCCTCTTTACGCGGAACCTATATATTAATAATCAATAATATCAGATATGTCATATCTGGTAATAATACCACCAAAGGGAGGAATTTCATAAAACCAAACAAAAATATAAAATACAAAATAATATTAAGAAGATATCTCAATAAAAAAATATTGAACTTTCGCTTGCAATTCGATTGAAAGGTAGTGGAATTTGATTTCTATATCAAGACAGTGTGGTATTTTTGCTTTGTAGCTTAGTGTAGTTCTTATCTTCAAATGGAAACCGTGAAATACCAAGTCAAATCAGATTACAATAGAATGTTTGTCTTTTTTGAATCGGGCCCCTATTGAGCAATGAAAGGTTTGCTGTGTTGGCCGGTGTAAGTGTACCGAACGAGTGACGTGGATCTGGGAACTTGGAGCTTGGACCAGGCTGGTTTAGTGACTCACCTCCTCCATCAGCGAGAACATCTGTTTCAGCTTGGCGCCTGCGAAGGCTGGTGCTAAACGGGTGCGGATCTCGCGCCACTCGGGTTGTTTGGCCAAAAAAAGCGATAAGGCGCCCATTTTGTCGCTGCGCCCATCACACTTGGCGAATCGGTTGGAGAAGCTGACGAAATCCTCGACCAGAACGGTGCGGACTAGCTGGAGATCGCGGATGAGCAGGGCTGGCTGATGGAACAGATAGATTCCCACGACGGGCTCGTTGCGGAACCGCTCGTCGAAGTAGAAGCGGCGCAACTGGAGCGCAAAGGACTCCTCCAGTCGGAGCACCCGGCTCAGGTTGCCCAGCAGGTGGGTCGGCTGGACGAACTTCACCCGCCGGCGCTGCCAATAGACGTAGGTGCGTCGGGACCAGATGAACACGCCCGTCAGGATCGTCACGATCGCCAGAAGGATGTTTGTGGAGTACACCATCTCGGATTCCGGGTCTCCGGACGTCAGGTCCAGTGGCGGATGAATCGCGAGCGAATAGGCGGATAGTGCCTTGGATTGGCCGATCTTGGTGCTTTTATTCTGGGGAGCGTTCCCAGCAGTTGTGGCCTTTTCGCTTTTGTTTTGATTGTCTATTTGTTGTAGGATGCAATGTCTCGGGAAATGGTAGTTGTACGATCGTCGTAAACTTGCTATGTTGTAGAAGTATATTGTTTTAGCTATTATTTTTAAATGTTCTTAGATTTGATTACATATTTCACTTTCTAAGGATTTCCATTTATATATTAAGTGCAAATTGTATTATTTTTGTATATTTTTCAATTGTATTTTGTTGAAATGATGCTTTGAAGTTGTCCTATTTCTGATGTAATTTTTAGTTGCCAGAGATCTCAAATTCATCAGATTCCTTTCGAGCTCCTGTTGAAAATCCTTGTAAACTTCGCTGTTTTCATTTCTCTAAAGATCGTTCTATTTTCCAAGCAATATGTATTTATTCTCCGAAGGTCGTCCGATAATCTTTCTTCAACTTCTGTTTTCAATTATTTTGTTGGGGCTTTTGAATAATGCTTAACAAATTGTATTTTATCTGCGTGCTTTAATGAAATTTTGCATTTTCCGTTGTTTGTCGGTTGTTTCGGTTTTCGGTTTCAGCTTTTGCTTTGGTTTTTTTCTGATCGTTTCTGCTGCTCCACCACATTGGGCATTGCCGTTATTTGTTGATTCTCTTTGCGTTTGTTGTTATCGCAGCTCCTTTTCGTTGCTCTCTTTTAGTTGTTGTTTGGTTAGCAATCCTCGATTTCCCTTTATTGGGCTTTCTTTCTTTTCTCGGCGTCGCGTGTTTTATAAATAAATACTTAACTAATTATATCACATTTCAAACGATAACTACAAAAAAATATGTAAAAAAAGACTAAAAACAGACCACAATGAAGAATTAAATGCACAACAACGCGACGTCAACAACAAATGGAAGAGGCGAAAGAAGAAGAAACAGCCACGCCGAAAAGGAAGAAGAAGAGAGTTGCGCAGAAAGACACAGGAGAGGGACAGAAAGAGAGAGAGACCACAGTTGCAAACGAAATGCGAAAAAACCGCGAATACAAATTACAAATAGCGAATTACAAAAAATAAGTCTAAAAATATAAATAAAATCGCTAGCTAGCTCCACCAAGCGACGCTTTTTAACTGACGCGACGTCAACGACCAAAGCCCCACGAAGGCAGCGACGTCGACAGCGATGCCGGCAGAGCGGCGACGACGCCCCCATCAACGTACATATGTTTTTTTGTGCTTTATTTTATTAACCGCAAGTTTGCGGGAGACAAAAGAGAGAGGGAGAGATCTTTCGGCGAGATAGTACACAGATACAGAAGAGAGCGCGAAAAGAGAGCTTCGCTAAGAATTTGAACAGTCATGTCATGAGGCACATGTTCTGGTTCGCACAGTGGAGCGCATTTTTGCAAGTGGCAGTCAAATGTTATTTCTCCCAATTAATGAAATCCCACAGCAATACATCGCACTATAAAATAATCTGTTTTTTAGTTCTAATTTGAATTATCTGTCGAGACTGAAAATGTAACAATACCACTCCATTTATAACTATATATAAGTATATTATATTTGTTCATACATTGAATTCCATAAATTTTTAAACTTGATGTATTATATTTTTGTGTCAGAAAAAATAAAAATATATGTATGCAACATGTGGGCCAACTCTCTGGGCTTGTCCCACTGTAGGTGACAGAAAGATGCCAAAGCGCAAAGTAGACCGCAAATAAAAGTGACGATTAAAAGCGAAACTGCAAAACAACGACAGTAGGCTCCGCTGCCTCTGCCGACGTCGATGTTTGCACTCCACGTGACGCGACGGCGACCGCGAATCTTTCGATGAAAACAAAGAGAGCGAGGAGAGGGGAAATTTGTTTTTGTTGCCGGGTGCAGTGCAAGACAAAGACACTTGGTCACTTCGTGTTGCTTGGGCTTTCTTTTGTGTTCTAGCTTTTGTTGTGTTCTTTTCGATTTCTTATTTCTTTTCGCCTGCCACGATTTATAAATAAACGTGCGAATGCTTTTGGCTGTGCTCTGGCTTTCGTTGCCTTTACTCTTCGCTTCTGCCTCTGTTGCGAGCATTTGTTGTTGCGGTTCAGCTGTTTTGATTTTCGCCTATTCTTCTGTTTGCAAGTGGGATATCGATAACAAGCGCAGGAAGCATCCCTGCACAGCAGTGGGCGCCAACTCAAAAAGCTGGCACAAAATTAATAAAAAATCAAAACGCTGGCACAAGATTAAAAATAAAAGTAGAATGTAATGGGTGGTTAATATGCAGGGAAATAACCTTAGCTGACAACTTTCCGTGAGCCTTACAAGCAAGATTCCCAACAAATGAAATTGCTTCTATTTCAAATATGTATTTCTATTTATGTAAATGTAACCTTATGAATTTTAGAGAAATGGATCCCGAAATAAGTTCTATATGGAGTCGTAAACAACTTTTCCCTTGATTTAAAGGAAAAAAAAAACAAAAAAAAAACATTTTGCCCAACAAATTGCCGCTCAGAGGAAAAAGGAAACTCCATTTACAACAATTGACAGAAATTTGCACTTGCTGCGGATGGAAAACTTTCACGTTCACTCCACAGTCCCCCTTTCCCAGTTTTCCCACTTTCCCCACACGCTCAACTCCTTCTGGAAAAGTGTGCTGAAGTTACAAATGTGCAACATTTCCGGTTGTTTGTATGTCGTCTACTTTTGGGACACCGAAAACTGTTGGCCACATTGATGGCTCACATGGGGGTTAAGGGGCCGCCGGGCGGTGGAACAGGGGACGGGGGCACCGTGGGGTTAAGTCTTGCTTTGATTAAATTTCACGCACGACCGCACAGAAAGGGTTTTCCGCCAACTGACGAAGGGGCGTGGCTCTGGGCGGGCGATTTCGATTTTGAGACTTTCCGGGCCTTACCATCCAAATTCACGCGCTGCAGTTCGATTTGCGTTTTTCTAGGGTGGGGCGTACAGTGAAACCTCGCCGGTTGCAACGCCAGCGAGTTACTGAGTTTCGGTCCAAATATATTTCCCGAAAGCCAATAATTCTGATACCAACTGCGATTCAGTTAGGCTTGTATTGTTTTTAGGGTCTAGAGCGCGACTTGCGAGTGCTCACTGTAGCTGCGGCATCGCTCGGCGGTGTGTCAATAATCGCCGTTGCTTATGCACACAACGGCTCTGCAAACACCAGCTCACTTGTCTTAAACCACCCACCCACCCCGCCCAGCCAAGCAGCCCCTCGCCCACCCATCAAAATCAGCTCAGCGCAAATCAAAGCCGTCTCAATCAACAAACAAACAAACAAATAGACAGGCAAACAGTCAAACAGACAAACACACAAACATTTGCGTGCGCATTTCAAGGCGCTGGCTGCAGTGGGTTAAGCGGTGGGCGTGGCAGGTTGATATGACACGTTTAGAAGATGGGAGGGTGTCTGAATTTGCTTTAGCTATTAGTTTTCGGTCTGCGACCTTGTTTTCATTCCATTTGCGCTGTTTGCATTGGAGATCTTTTAATTATTGTCACGCATCCACGCCTGCGGAAAAGTAGTTTTCCCGCCCCCGATTTTCCGCTTGTGGGAGTTGCGTCAGGTGTCGGACTTTTCCCGGGGATTAATTTTGATATTAAGTCTTTGGGGAAAGTTCGATTTACCCTGTCACATTATAGCACTCCTTGAACTTTCTCGTGTATTGCAAACGTGTGTTCAAATTTGATGGCAATATAGTCATTATTTTATCCGCCTACATTAGTAATAGGTAATATGGAAATTTGGTAATATGTAAATAAAAGAACATGTGAAAGTGATGAAAAAGCTTAAGTCATAATCTGTTTTGTTTATTGCTGCTTGCATATCTCCATTTTCCTCGCAAGGAGTGTAACGGGTATCTGATAGTCGAGCAACCTACGCAACCCAACCGTTCTCTTTTGGTTTTTTCTAATACTTCAGATACATATAGGAAGAGTTTTAAATATAAGAATGACGTTTATTTGCTCGAACATGGAATATTTGCATACCACATCCCCTTTTTCTGCTTTGGTGTTTTTGCATCATTTTCTAAATACATTCATATTTACATATGTGCATGCACATCTCCTCCGAGATTTCCCAGATATGCGCCTGAACGCCTCATTAGCCGAAGCAATTGCACACATCGGTGGGCTACCTTACTTGTATCAGAATCCATATCTATGAGATACACATCCCTCCACCTGCCCACATTCGACCTAAGATCCTGCACTGACCATCTCCGAAGAAACAGGGAAGGAGCGCACACACATGGTCCAGTAATCGCAATCCCGGGGTAATCTCCCCTGGTTTTTTTGATGTTGAACCGCTTTTTATGGGATATGTGGCATATAGGGAGATCGAGATAAAGTGCGCAAAATAGATGCGTAATTTGACGTTAATGTTGCGCTAATAATAATCTCGAAAAATGCAAGAGGAGCAGCTGATCCTTCGGACTCGGATACAGATACACATGTGTGTATCTCGGCGATCGTGTAATGTGCTTAAGGACCTTTTCTCCTTTTCAGCTCGTTTCTAAGACGCATTGTTGTGTTTGCCATTTTGACGGGTTTCGATTACTCCTCAGTTTTCCCCTCTCCACTTATCTGTTTTCTGGCCAAAAAAAGATACAGATTCGGAGTATCTTTTTTAATGCCCTTTCATGTGTGTAATCCACTCTGCTCGTTTTTGCTCAAAGTTAAATGATGCGCAACTAAGTTGAGCCAATTTCCCTTACACTGTTTTGATATTTTCGAGACAGACGGCTGATGAAAGTAAGTTGCACAACAGGAAAATCGGAAAAGGGGCACTGAGCGCATAACAAAAAAAAATACAAACAAATGGCAAAGTCTTGCCCTGAGTTGTTTATATTTTTTATACACTCACATAAGTCGAAAATTGTCCAGTATGAGTTGCTTAAGAAAAATGTAATGACAATTGGGTGATGAAAGGCACAACTGAATCCATTCGATTACTAAAGCAATTACCAGACTATGAACCAATGCAACTATAATTTTGGCAAAGCTAATATATAATAGATAGTATACCAGTATGCAGTTCAATTTCCCTCGGCTTACAGATCGGTGGGGTGCTTCAGGCGACCTTGAGCCTCTCCTTGAACCTTGACTGTGGCTCAACCGAAAACCTAGTCATAAAGTCAAACCCAACAAATGCAAAGTCAACACGAAGCGGCTGAAAATCATCCAGAGCCGACCAAGTAAAATTCCAAAACATTAAAAACAACTTAGAGAAAGGATACGTTTCCGCGAAATGTAAAAATGTGCACCATAAAGAACAAAAAATTCAAAAAACAAAAAACTGGAAAAAAAAACTGCACTAGAAACCTACAAACCTAAATAGATGGGGTCAAGTTCTGAGTAAGAAGTAAACCCATCCTAAAAAACAACCGAAAATCGCAGAAGCTGCACAAAAAACGACCGTAAAACGCGATTCTCGGTAGTTTAGGTAAAAACGGTCAGTGAAATTTGAAATTTACCCGCGTTAACCCCTTTTCGCGAGAGCGAACAATTGTAATTGTATTTGTAGAGCAAAAAGGGGTTAAAAAGGGGCGAAGGAAGCACAGGCAAAAGAACCATAGGTCCTTCAGTCCTGCTGCCTGAGTCTTTTTACTATTTCTGATGCTATGGCAATGCAAATTTAGGACTATATGACACTACATCTCGAACGCTATTCAGATGATACAGTTGTCGATGAAAGTTTGGCAGCCAGACTTTACTTTACAAATGAGTCAATCCTATTTCGTTAATTTATAACTTATTGAGATATTTTTGGATACATTTGTATGCGCTAATAGGACGTGCGTGTAATCGTGCATATTCACATAGGATCAGTGTCATACAAGCATAATGTCAATTTTTCCCAACAGTATTCCCAACTTGGCCAGTGGAAGTATCTGTCGGATTTCTGGTATCTTTTGCCCTGCTAAACTATTTGTTCTGCTGTTTTTTCGCTCTGCTTTTTTAGCAAGATCGTAAAGTAATAAAACCATAAAAAGAGGACAACCGGGCGGGACATAAATTAGAGATAAAGGAGTAAATGTGGAACGAGAACAGGACACGGTTTCGTTTTCATTTTCGTTTTCGGGCAAAGGACAAGGGGTTAAAAAGTGCGTGCACATTTTTTGTGTGAGATTTTTTTTATGACTCGGTCAGCGAATGGGTTAAGCAATGCCCAACTGACAATCGATTTTTCTGGCTAATTTTTTTGGCCGCTTGCCGTTTGATTTTCCATCGCGGTACGCGGAACTACATAGTAAAAATCGAGCGAAAAACACAATGGGGATTTTGTGTCTTGACTTTCGAGAGTGTTTTTTCGGGGCATCT